ATAGGGCAGTTGCTATCTGTTGAATTTGGATAAATGGTTAGTCATAATCGTAATAAGAAGTTTGCTGGCTATGCAGCATAAGAGAGCTTGAGCTTCTCACAGGTTGCAGGGCAAGACCAGCACGAAACTTCCTGATCATATCAGCTTCTGAGCTAAAATCCAGATTAACCTGTCAAAAATGCATGTAACTCTATTAATGGAAGTTGAAAGAAATTCTGAAGAGATGTAAAAATCAAAATAATCATCTAACCTGAACAGTACAGGTCCGAAGCATCATATCAAGTCCAAGTGAACCAACTTTCGGCATGTAGTTTCTCATAATATCGTATCTCCCCTGCACATTAACACATTATAGTTTAAAGACATGATCAGACAGTATACTAATACAAACATCAATGAAACTGCGATAAAACATCGGTCATGCCGAACAAACTTAGAGAAGAGCCTAATAATACCTTAGGCATGATGGGAATGTCCTCACGACGCCATTTGGGCTGGAAACCCATTCCTAGGAAACCAATTCCCATTTCCTCAGCGACAGCTTTGACCTGTTAACATCCATAGAGAGAGTATGTTTGTTGTTTGAAGCATTTTAGAGTCACCATATTGGCAATTATTATGATCTATCAAGTTACCTGATAAAGGTGTGAGTTGACTTCAGCACAAGTTTGGTGCAAAGTCTCAAGAGGTGCACCACTAAGCTCAAATTGACCACCAGGCTCAAGTGAAATGCTTTGTTTCCCCTATTCAACAAAAGGAGACAAAATCAAACTAGCTACAAATAAACTTCTAATATGTAGTATCAATTTTGTAGTACATGAAGTTCACATGTTTGCTAAAAAAGTGAAGCAGGGGAATGTTTTACCTGCTTGAGACCAATGATCTTGTCACCTTCCATGACTTTCTCCCATTCAAACCTCTCAGCGATACTGTTAAGCAGCTCAGCTATTTGATCATACTTCATAGGGCGTAAAGTATTGACCTCAAAACCAAACTTCTCATGTTCTGTACCTATCCTGCAAACTCACAACCCCAAAGTTAGCTAAATAGAATCCAACAGATAAAAGCAATCTCAATAAGTTCAAAACAAAAACAAAGATAGCAGTAGAACACAGACAATGACATATGTAATCAGACAGTACCTCCATTTGTCCTTGGATTTACATCCAGAGGCAAGATAAGCAATGAGATCCTCTCTCGTAAGCGGCTCTGTTGCAACAACAGCTTCCTCTGTGGGAGGACTCGCCGCAACAATCAGCTGATGCCCTCTCTTAACCATTGATTTGGTAGATAGAGTCGTCCTAGAGTAGACAGAGGCTTCTTTCATCCTCAAATTTCTTACAAGACCAGAAACTGCTTTAGTTCCGGTCTTAGAGCATACAAGTCCAGAAGGGACAGTGTACGCTCCTCCTGCCTGAGACAACAACGCCATGTCTAAACACGTTCCTGCAACTACACAATCATTTCGGTTTAAATTACAAATCGAATTTCGTGAAAACCAAATCTGAAAAAAAGACGAGAATTAACACAATAATTCTGGATTCAAAACCTAATAAGACACGACAAGAAGAAGGAGGAGGAGTGAGGGAGGGAGAGACCTGAATCTGGTGAAGGAAGGGAGAGTTTTTCAACAAGTTCGCATCGGCGACTCCATTTATAATCCCATCATCAGTGGAGCTGAGCTGTCTTACGGAAGAAAGACGATAAATTAATTAAAAAAATAATCAATAATGATATATAGTAATAAAAGATTCTTTCGCATTTTGCCTCTTACTCCTCTTTTATTCATAAATTTCACCCCCTTTTGTTATAAACTACCACTAGGATAAGACATGCGCCTTGCGCAGGGTAAATGTATGTAATTAAAATATAAAATTTTAATATTCACAAATTTAAAATTTACATATGATTGTTTTGTATGTATTTGAAATTTTAGAATTTTGGAATTTTTATATAATTATCTATACGTATGATCAAAAACAATTTTAATTAGAAATGTAAATCAAATCTTAGAATTTAATGGATCTGATTTCATATATCTTTTTACTTTTCAGTGTTCGAGTGATGGAAAATAAATGGAGTGTCACTGGGCTTGATTGGTAGAGTATAGC